GTCACACAACGTACCCTTGGACCCAAAACCCTTATGCCAGCCTAGAAATCCTGTTACACCCTGTTTTGACCCAAAACCCTGAAAACACGCTGTTTTACAAAAAAAATCATTAAAAATAGTAAAAGAATCTATTTTGACCCAAATATTTTTTCTGAGAGCTTCACAACAGGCTCAGAACATGTGTGAAAAATAGTTTTTCAAATCGGAGGTGTTTTGTCCTGGATGACACTAGTGTCACCCAGGTTTGGGCGACACTACTCGTGTCGACTTTTTAGGTCTTTTATCTTGGGTGTGGGGCCCGAGGAAAGCTATCCGTACCTCCCAAAATTCGTTTTTTTTTAAATTCGAATGGTGTTGACCAAGGATTTGTTGGTTGTAGGGATAACACTGCCCCAACAAATCCCTTGTTCATAAAAAACCATCTTGGTGGTCATTTGAGGGGTGAAAATAAACTCTCTGAGAGACTTTTAGAAACCTGAGAGACTTTAGAAACTTTAGGCTGGAAAGATAAACCTAAGAGATACAAAGAAAACCTTTATTCTGCTCTGCATCTCAAATCTAAACTCACCCTAGATCCGAAATTAGGGTACAACCACCCATCAACACCTGAATCAGAAGGGCAAAGAGGAACCAGTTCTGATACGGCCAGCCCTTAGGGGCGCAAAAGTCTCAGGCCATCCGGCCCGGTCAGGTACTCATTCTCCCTTCATTTCTTCTCTATTTTATTTTATTTATTTTATTTTGATCTGATTTTGATTTGTTTAGATTGAAAATCTTGTTTTGAAATGCTTCGGATCACGTTGGCTCCGCCACTTATCTGAGTGCATGTCTGCTCGTTTCCGGGCAGATCTGATCTCAGATCTGAATTTGATTGTTCCCACTTTCTCTACCTTATCTTTTCCTTTTCATTTTCATCAGTTTGAAGTATCAGATCAGGGTGATCTACATCATTAGATCGCTCGATTTTTCGCTATAAACAATTTGGTTCCCACCGTGGGTTCTTCTTTGCCACTCTCCTGTCCCTCGAAGGACAGGGAGTGCCAAAGAGGGGCAACTGTAGACACCCTGCTTTAAATTTGGTAAGTTCTATGGTTTTCTTAGACCCTTAGGATCACATTGACTTAGTGAACCCAAAGTCCATAGGTTACACAACTTACCCTTGGACCCAAAACCATTTTGCCAGCCCAGAAACCCTGTTACACCCTGTTTTGACCCAAAACCCTAAAAACGCACTGTTTTACAAAAAAATTCATTAAAAATAGTTAAAAAATATTTTCCTTCAAGTAGGTCTGTTCTATTCTTGACTTTTTGATTTCATTCTAGTTTGTTAATTTTGATTGAATTCATGTTTTCCTTGCTTTCATCATGCTTAGTTTAATTATTTCTCATCAAA